TAGATGCCAAGCAATTTGTCAGAGTATTATTTGATTGTCTCAGTCTCCTCCATTCTTTGTATTTCAAATTCTCTCATTAAATTTAATACTTGCAATCTTCGAATCCGTTCATCTCTATCATATTCTTCCTTTATATAATCCCAAATTGCTTTTTTCGATTTGAGAGTCATAATCCTGGTGAAAATATTTTGTGAAACACAAGCAAAGATACAATTTTTTGCCTTTGCCTTCTTGATTTTTCTTTTCCTTGTGAATTTTCATTTGGGCTACAGTAGGATTGTCTGGCAACGCAGAAACATCATAATCTTCTTCTACGGCTTCCCAGAGATCTAAAGCTTCTAAGTATGCCTCCATTATCACCACCCAAGGATCATAACTTTCTCCATCAAAAATAGGTGGGGAAATTTGTGAAAAGTTTGTTTCTGCTTCCATCTTCAAGATCATAACCTTAGCTCTAATAAATACCACTGATGGGGTTATTTTATGATATTTACCTGAGAGGATATTTTATGAGAGTTATTTTATAGGGTTATTACACAAACATACTCCACAATGATGAGATATTGTCCGCTTTGGGCCTTAGCCCTCATGGTTTTGCTTTTGGTCATTACCCAAAAGGCCTCTCAATCATTGAAGTAAGTATCTTTGTGCTATATAAGTTGTTATTTCTTATTTTATTTTATCGATGTGGGACTTGTTTGTATCCCAACAATCCTCCTCTCAAACAAGGGACCTAACCTTTCATGCAGCGGAACCTTTTATATATCACATTATATGTTATGAGTTATGAGGGGTTATGGGGGGGTTATTGGTTGTCACCGAATCCAACCTACGGCTCTGATACCAATGATGAGGTTATTGTATAGTATTTTCTTGAGAGGATATTTTATAAGACTTATTTTTTATCAGAGGAGCATAATCTAATTTTATTCATGAGTCTCTATTTATAGAGAAAATTTGTTATACAAAATCAAATATTGATATTATCCTATTCTAAAAATAAGGAAACAAATCCTAAAATAATCAAAACAGATTAAATCTAAATATTTGAAATATAAATAAAATATTCTTATCAAAATCTAATTTATTCTCCTAAAGATATTTAGGCATATTCCCAACAATATGTTTATGTGAGGATGATATTCGTCATGATGGTGGATTGACCATGTATGATGTATGATGCATTGTTGCATGTGATACCTTATGACATGTGTCTATCCTAGGACTCGAGGAGAGGGAAAATGTTTTTGAACTGGAAGAGCTCACATAGAGTCTCTTAAGAGTGGTGCTTGGATAGGCCACTGGTTTGGATGAGAGTGGTGCTTGGATAGGTCTTTGGTTTTGGGTGAGAGTGACGCTTGGATAGACCACTGGTTTGGGTGAGTCTCCTCTAAGTCCTTAGCTAGTGTTGGAGCGGGGTATGATGTCGAGGATTATTCTCTTAACCAAGTACTGGGGAAGGTGCGTGTGGTTCCTTGTAGATAGCCGATAGGAGAACTCCACAAGTGACTTGGTAATGCATGTCAAGGTCGTGGTAAGCCTGTATCCAGTTGTGTTATACCTGATGGTGAAACCGAACTTCCAAGTATGTAAGTGACATCATCCGAGTAAATTTGAGTAGGGATTTATATCCCGATTTTTTGTGATCGAGCGGGCGCATTGGGCGTGAAAATAGTTAGGGTGCTTTCCATAGGATGAGATGTCACTTATACTGCTCTGTTGTTATATAGATATCCTAGATGAATGCGTGACAACACATTAGATGATTGATATGCATTGATATCTATCATGATTTGCTATTATTGCATGACTGCTATTATGATGAAATGTATGATGTTTGACGTCATGATTGGTGACTTGATGATTGAGTGAGATGGAAGTCCCTTGGGACATGATTGGATGAATATGTAGTATAGATTATTATTTTGTACTTGTACGGTTGTTTATTGAACTCTATCTTACCCTTTTGTTTCCATGTGGATGGACTGCGATGATCATACTATGTATGGGAGCAGGTCAGAGTTAGGTTGGAGTCGATGTGGTTGCTGCTGAGGCGTTGGATGTTTTATCCCAGTGTCGAAGTTACTATTGAAGTAATTGATTAGGTGTGCTTGACCGATACTAGGATACTATTATTTTGGATGACTGTATATACATAGTACTATAGTTTGTATATAAATATTTAATTTTTTTTATCATTTCCTTTACATGTATATTGTGTTATCTAGTTTAATATTTTATCTTAAATGACTAATATAGTTAGCACGATTCCTCTGAGTGTAGGGACCATGACAGATCATTATATAATGGATTGAGAAAAATATATGGTAGGATATATATATATATATATATATATTTTTTTTTTTTTCACATCTGTATGTTTCTTGCTGGGTGCTGAAAGTCAGTTCACTTTCCATTTATAATGTTTGAAGTTGGTACTTTCTTCTGCAGGCCAGCCCAAAAGGCATCTACTTACAA